TTTGTAGGAGTTAATCCACAACCTATAAAACGCCTTAAGAATTCAAGAAGAGGGGTAATCCACTCTCTCGAAGAAGAATAAGACTCCAATATTGTAACAAAAGAAGTATCAGTTTAGAGGAGGGTAATCCGCAACCTCTAAAAAATGCTAGTATACCTTCAAGTAGAGGGGTAATCCACACTCTACTAAGAAAGAACTAGCTTTGATATCTCAAGTTAGTATAGTCTCGACAAACTGTCACGGACACAAAATACAGACTTGAAATCTAACAAGAAGTTCAAGAAGAAGTGGCAGAACTAGATTAAACAGATGAGTACAAGAACAACACCAGAAAGGTGAGCTAGAACTCTAAGAGATGTGTTGTCGAGACTGAAGAACTCTTCAGCCTCGATCCCTATATATACTCCTACTTAGGAAGCTTCTCGAGCTACTTCTATTAACTAGGAAGCTTCTAGAAGGTTCCCGAGGCTTCCTTTCTAGAAGGTTCTAGAAACTTCTCGAGCTACTTCTATTAACTAGGAAGCTTCTAGAAAGTTCCAGGGGATTCCTTTCTAGAAGCTTCTAGAAACTTCTCTTCTAGAAGGTTCCACAGACTTCCTTTCTACAAGCTTCTAGAAACTTCTCTCTAAAAGGTTCCAGAGGCTTCTCTTCTAAAAGGTTCCAGAGGCTTGTTTTCTAGAAGGTTCTAGAAACTTCTCTCTAGAAAGTTCTAAGGAATATGTTCCTAACACATAGGTGCTTTGTTTTGTGCTTTAGAATTTAATTTCAACCCTGATTGATAACTAATCCTCTGTAAGTATCAATTCTTATCTTCTTGAGGTAATTTTTACTAAAATCAACTCCTAACTTTCTCCTATATATGTCTATATCTATTATTTTTCTAATCTACTTTATTTTGCCTTATTCATGGCTCTACAAATTAAATAAAATCTATTTTTATAAAAAATTATTATAACATTAATAGATTTTATTATCTACTTATCATTTATCTATATTTTTTTTTATTATACTCAACAAGATAATCATCTTTCTAGAAGTTTTCAAATGTAGGTTCCACTTAGGTAACTACTGTTCTAGAAGAATTTAAAGGTCAGCTCCACCTAAACAACTATCCTAAGCCCTTGTAGAATATTTTTTGGTGAATCTCACATAGACCATCAATTTAGCCCCAATTTTAAAAAAACTTCTAGAAACTCTCCAAAAATGGCTCCACTACCTATTTCTATACATCAGCAATACAAATATCTTATCCATGCCTCATTACAATTAGGGTCAGTGAGTGATTCCAAGATTGAGCAATATCTACCTATTAGATTGAAGCAAAATTTGATGAGATCAATCAATATTTAATTATTTGAATACAATCCAATTTTTAGAGCAATTGAATGGTTCAACAACAAGAAATTGATATTAAAAGATTAATATTCAAGTCAAAGAAGGAGGGTGGCAAGTGACAAAGATGGTTTAGAAGCTTTTTCTTGCAATTAATAGGTACATTTCTTTTCAAATTTTATATTCTTGTTAATTGCTTGTTGATTGAATTTTTGATGAAATTTTAGTCAAGATCTATAGTTAAATTAATATTTATTGAGGTTTCAAATAACTATAGTAATTAATTAAAATTTATTTGAGGTTTTTTGGAATTATTTAGGATTTAGGATTTTATTTAGGATTTTCTTAGAATTTGATTTAAGATTAGGATTTATTTTCATTATATATACATATATATAGATTTATATTTTTTAAGAATTATTGATTTATATCTTAAAAAATTAAAATATTATAACAATTTGGTATCCAATGTCATGGATTTTTATCAGCAAAATACAAAACAAAGTTCATTCTCTCTTTTAGTTCAACATGTCAATATACTAGTGTATATATATAATGTTATTTTATATATATATATATATATATATATATATATATACATATATATACATATACTCTTAATTATTTTTTTACAAATTTTTAGTTGTATAATGCAATGATGATTTTTTGCTAAAAATGACGAGTTCAAAAAATTATGTAATAATAAATTAAATAATTATATTATAGTTTTTACAAAGAAATAACTCTCTTATCATTTTATTATAAATTTTAATTCTAATAAGTAATAATATGTATTTTTATTCTTTAAAATAATTAAATAGAGTTGTTTGTCAATTTTTTTTTTAAAGAATTTTTAATTGATTTATGTTGTGAAATTTGGAATTATGTATTAAACTCTAAACTTGATTGTTATTTATTTGCATATAGTTAATATTTTTGAATCTTTTTATTTTATTATTTTATTATTTATTTATTATTATTAGTTATTTATTTACTATAATATAATAAATATATTTAGAGATGTTAATATTATATTTAAACTCACATTTATTCATCTATCTATTTGTTTGTGTGGGGCATTTATTTTATAGTTTATTAAAAATAAGATCGTGAAAATATAAATACAATTTCATACATTAGATATGAGACTTTATTATTTGTAAAAATTATTTACATTCTTGCAATAGTTGACCAAAGTTTTGAATCTTCATTCAAGAAAGTAGATTTCAATGCTATGGTGAAATTTACAATATTCCAGTCAATCCTGATCATCATCGTCATAATTTTTTTCATAATAAAAAATATATAAATTGAATATGTAGTTTTTTTTTTCTTTGATCTAAGTTTCTATATCCACCCTCATGTAATTTATGAAAGAAAGTGAAGAATCAAAGAAGAACAAAGTAGGGAACAACTAGGATAAGACGACGAATTGGAAATGTCTTATGACCTACAATTAGGTAACCGAGAATAGGAGCAGAGGGAAGATTTTTATGAAAAAGATCTTACGAAAGCCACACCAGGGGCTCTATGTGGTCAATAAGCTTTAGTAATGGGGACACGGGAGATTGAGGCGAAGGGGTCCAGTAACCGTGGACAAATGAATGTATGAATTTTTAAAATGGAAGGATGAAAAGGGGGGGGGTGGAGTTGGGTGTCATCTGCTCCACGCTCGTCGTCGCCAATCAGCAGCAGCACGATCATCATCATCGGTGGCGTCGGGGTCGTGAGGTGCCACCCCAACCTCACACCCACCCCGCCCCCGTGCCTCTCATCTCACCTCATCTCTCTCTCATCATTATGGCCAACCATCCGCACGCTTCATCTCCGTTTTTTCCATCCCTGTGCTGCTGCTGCATCGGGTGGCGTTGCTGCGCTCCTTTGCCAGCATTTCCCAATTTCAAAGTCCGCTCTGTCACTGCGTTTTTTGCTTCCCCACCGAGCTTCGTTCCGAGCTCCGTTGCTACACCATTTCCGTGGGTCTTCGTGGGAATTCTTAGTCTGGGACGGTTTTCTTTCAGTTTTTCGTTTTTCTCAACGTCTACTTGCATAGACCTTAATGAAATAATCAAGTCCCTTTTGAATTAGCTCTCAGTTCTGTACCAGTTATCGACGAATTGTAGAGGTGTGGATTTGAACTGTTCACCGAATGGCGAGAACGTGAGTTGCTGAGAACCAAATTACTCAATTGGATTATACGTGTGACAGGGGCTGAAGCAGGTCTTTTGCGCCCAGGTAGACTTCTAAGCCTTCTTGGACCTATTGAGATTTTTCGAAGAAGGTGCAGTTATTTTCGTGCCGATGAATTCATCACCGGCGCCGGCGCAGAATTTGCCAAGAGTAATGACAACCCCCGTGGCGTACTCAGTGCCTTCCCACGTTGCCACAATGAACCCAAAATTTACATCGACCTTGTGGGGCATAAGCATCGGGTGTGAGAAAGCTCAACCGATTGTGAGCAACTGCCGGGTTAGTGTTACAGGCGTTAGGGCAGCCGCGGATGGCAGCAGGGAAGTTGGTTTTGGTAAGCTCTTAATCATTACTGCTCTTTCCTCTACCTAACAGTGGGCATCATGGTTGCCAATTCAAGACCGTCATTGCTTTGTAGCAGTAGAAGCGGGCATTCTTTAAACCTGGCAGAAGTAAACCCGCCTCAGTCGTCTACATGATTATGCTTTCGCTGGATGATCTACTTTGCTGGTTTTCTTAGAATTTTCGGTCCACTTCTATTCGCAGTATTGGCTCAAAATGTAGTCCGATCGAATTCATATTCTAGTGCAGAGCTTAAACACCATTTTACCACATGTATTATTCAGTCTGCAGATTTCCTATTGTATTCAACATGATTATGCTATTGGCTGTGCTATTTGTTATCTGACAGATAGATGAATGGGCTTTGTGGTTTCTCTTTTCTCGCCGATCGAAATCCATGAGAGTCTGCTGGAGAATTATATATCAGTGTGTCATTTATTGATGTTCTAAGAACGAATCCTATTTCTCATCAAGCTGTCGCTGATCAAGTGGACACAATCTTGCGAATAATTCTGTTTCAAAGGTTTTTCAGAACCCCTCCTTGTAGCTCATAGCTGGCGCTCGATGATACTGAGATGGAGGCGGTGGCGTGCGATCTCATACTCATGACTACTTGTGGCTAACTTATAAATATCATCTCTCAAAACTTGTCAGGGAATGAAATCAAAATTAATTAGGGTATTCTTTCTTGAGTGTTATTTGGAGGATCCCGATGGGTGCTGACTCCTTTGTCCGTGCAGATCGAATTAGTGGATTTAATGAACATAGGTGACTGAAAATCGCGTAATTGGCAACAGGGACAGGCTCAGTTTTAGTAAAGATCTGCTCTGGATTGAATTGAAACCTTCACCTCAGCTATAATTAGGCTAGTTTTATTCCCACCACATCATTTCAGGGATCAACACTCACACGATAAACTGGGTGTTAAATCCTCTTCAAAGTCTTGATTATTCCTTGACTTCTGAAGATTTTCAGGTCTAAACAGTTCCGCTGGTTGTGGATTGGCTGGGGATTAACTCTGAAATGGTGTTCCTACCATATTTATTGAAATTCTGGTAGGCAACGGTTTTGGGGTCTCAAGGGAAGGTCATACGTGCTTGATTTTAGGGACAACGAAAGGCGTAGCACTGAATGGGAATGGAACAATGGTGACCGAGCGGCCATTCACTGGGGGCGCCATAGATTTCAGGCGTGCTACAGCTCCTCTTACCCCTAAGCCCATGGAGAACGCCAAGACTGTGGTTCTCGTCCGTCATGGTCTCAGCTCCTGGAATGAAGAAGGTCGAGTGCAAGTTAAGTGTCCACAAGATTGTAGTGATGCAGAATCATTTTGCGTGGATTGCATTTGGTCGCACAGAAGATGTGGTTCCTGACAGGACGCTTTGGATTGACAACAGGGAAGCTCAGACAAATCCGTACTCTCTGATGTAGGAAAACTGCAAGCGATTCGAGTCCGTGACTCTCTTTCCCAGTTGGACTTTGACCGGTGCTTTGCAAGCCCTATTACTCGAGCAAAGGTGGGCAAATCTCTTGTCGAGCTCTCCTCACAGCCGAAAACAAACCAGGAACATCGACATTCGTAGAGGGTTTCAGATTTAATGACTTCATAGTCCACTAACACAAAGTGCGATACTGGACTAGTTATTAGAGTTATGCAACTTAATACACATCAACCTTGTTTTCTAATCATCACACCCTAGGTTTGTTTCAGCTCTGATTTCCTTCTCTATGCTTTCAGATAGACAAGTAGATAAGAGAACTATGTTAAGCATGCATTTAGTCAGGTGTATTTGTCTTAAGAAAACACATCTCAACAGTCTATATACTTTTCTGATAAATCTAAATTGATATGACAGACTGAAAGTGGACTGAAACATTCTGGCAATGAGCTATTAGGGAGCAATAACCTTTCAGTTCCTTCTCTCCATTAAACTCCTGTGTATATCGCAATGCGTTGGTGCTTTCTTTGATGACAGACCAGTGCAGAATTGATTTGGGAAGGGAGGGAGAAGCCACTGGTGTACTTGGACACATTGCGAGAGGCTAACCTCCATTTTCTTGAGGGCATGCTGAATTGTAAGGATATGCGCTCCTTTATGTAACAAAGACTTTAGATGCACATGTTACTGATATGCTTTCTAATATTGAAAAAAATGTCTTTGCAACATTGCTCCAACTAGTTACTTAGCTATAAAATGTCTTAGAAACCGATGTACTGACAACTCTGTGATAAGTTGTGACCATTTGGTTTGATGGTTGATGAAAATTGACATCACCTATACATACACATGTATCCACAAGTCTGTTTGTACGGGTGTTGGTCCATGCCTCAATGCCACATCATTGTGGCGATATTGAGACAATGATGGCTCTGGGGAATTCATATTTGAGACGCAATGAATATGAAGGGCTGGCTGTTGTTAGTTGTGACCAGTAGGAAGTGAACCATTGGATGAATCTGTTGAATCAGGACTATGACTTGTGTTGGCATTGGAAAGCTTTGTGGATTTTCACCTTGCATGTTATTACACTGATTCATTGGTTTCCAAACTAGTAAAGCTGCACTTCTGTAAGGATTATAGGTCTAGGTGGAGCTGGTAAATTGAAAGTCGTTGAGTATTCAAAGCATCGTATGTTGACAAGGTGTGCTGCGCGTTTGGCTTGCTTACAGCTGAGGCACGAGAGCAGTATCCTGAACTCTTCAGGTCGTGGAGAGAGGATCCTCTGAATTTTAATGTCAATGGTGTATATCCTGTGGTGGAGCTTTGGGCCAAAGCTAAGCTGGCATGGGAGGAAATTTTGTCAGCCCCAGTAAGATTATCGATATACTCGAATGATTTTTTTGTAATGATTTATATCTTGACGTCGTAATATTTACTTCCTAGATGGTGGCCGGAAAGACTTAAACTAAATGTTTACAGATGGCATGAAAAGTTCTCATGACGACCTTTATTGAGAACGGCGTCAACAAGTGATATAGTGCAATGAAACGATTGAGACTTGTGAACTGGTTTTGACTGTTTAGATCTTAATTGGATCTGTCTATGACGTTCCAGGGTGAAAGATTGCTGGTGGTCACACACAAGTCCATATTGCGAGCCATGCTGTGTACAGCTCTAGGCCTTGGGCCTGACAGGTATTGAACTCCGCCATTCCACGTTGGCAATAAGTGAATGTTCAGATCTTAGTGATTTGGACTAGTGCAGTACCAATGCTGTTTTTCATTCTTTTCTCTTATGCTTGAAAGTGATTTCATGTGCTGCCATGGATGATTCCTGGCTCGATTATTCTTGACAAGCTTGATGTTTCGCTTGTGCTGTGGCAGGTTCAGAGGAGTTGATGTGCATAATGCGGGGGTTTCAACCTTCACCGTTAACACAAGGGGGGAACCGATGCTTGCTAGTCTGAACAGAACCGCGCACCTGCACGTAGATGGTGTGCACTATTTAGATTAGCCTCAAATGCATCCGGAGAGTGCCTCCTGGGTCTGATCTAAAGTTTCCATCGATTTCATGGGTGTGTATATACGAATTCTATAGGATTCTATACTCTTGTATTTAAAGACAAATAATTGTTTTCTGTTAACTGCTAGGTCAATGAAGAGACCATCGGCTACATAAGCATGCGTCTCCATATGTAAACATGGTTGTATATCAAGTTACCAGGGTTCCTTCAAAAACATTAGTGCTCTTCACACAACTCGTGGAAGTTGAGCATGATGTATTTTCAACAACGATTTTGATTTTGGTCGTTTAACACCTTGCGATGGGTGTGCTGTAATTTACATGTTCATTTAATGTTAAATCCTACTAGATAGGTTGATTTGTGAATGTGTATTTTGGCGTGGGTGTAGATGAGTATCCATCGTGAGCTTGCTAGGACTTCGTTTTGAAGACCGTAGAAACGCATTTGAACTTTGTTTTAAAGGTAATTTAAACTATGAAATAACTAAATATAATTTGTTTGATTCCGAGTAAATAACTCACTTTACTTTCATTTCTAACCTCCTAAATACACTGCAGCTCATCAATGTAATAACCAATATAATTCATTACTACTTGATTTTCTTTTGATGTGTAAAAGATTATTTAACATATTCAATCTGCTGAATAGTAAAAATGATTTGCTAAATTAAAATATTTCATATCCTAGATATATGTAGAAAGTAAAGAACTTTCAATTATCAACGGTTAGCTACTAATTTTTTTATTAAAACGATTTACAGTTGTAGCCTTTTAAGAAATGAGGTGTGATGAAAAACTTTGATCTTAAATGAATGAAAAGTTTGTCAAATATAGCATAATATTACAATAAACAATTGAAGAGGTATTATATATGAATTACTTGTCTTAATCTTGTGATTTGATTAATTTACTAATTAGTTGTAGTTGTAAATTATATGTGCATAAAATCCTAAAAATTCTAAATTTAAGAATATATATTTTTAAAAATTTTATACAAAATATTATAAGAAGAAAAAAGGTATAAGTTAAATTCTCTTCTTAGATTTATTTTTATATAGATCTTGACTTGATTTAATTGATCAAGAAGTCTTAATATTAAGGATAGAAGATACATATTCTTAATATTGATCTTATTGAATCTTAATAATCCATACATATCCATTGTTGTATAAAAATATGGCAATTAGATGAAAGAAAAAAAAAGTATTTATTATAGAAGAGTTTAATTAAAAATATATAGTAAAAAAAAAAAAAAAAGATAGGTAGGTAGTAAAATCTTATAGTGTTAGAATTATCTTTTATGAAAATGAATTCTACTTACTTTGTATAGCCATAAATAAGGCAAAATAAGATAGATTAGAATAATAAATGATAGAGGTATATGTAGAAGGGAGTTAATATTGAAGAAAACGAAATTTAAAGTCACAACATATAGCATCAATAAGATTGCACACAAAGAGAGTATAGATTAAGATAACTCTTACTTTCATTACCTATAATTTATAAGTGGTGGCTATTGCCGAAATAAATAGCTTCCATCCTTCGATGAATACATCTATTCCACATTCAATCAAGACTCTCTATTCATATCTTATCTACTTTGACATTATGCCTTTAGCATATCCTCTATATCCTAAAGATTCTTTGATCAATAGTAAATTACGTAAGATTATATCTTCTACAAGATAACTTATTCTATTTTTATTTTTATTTATTTACTTCACACTTCTAGTTTGCTAATGATCAAAGGCTTTCAATCCTAACGCCTTTATTAACATGTGATGTCTATCCTTTATTAATACCTTTGTCAATAAACCAACAAGCATATCTTCTAATGTACAATACTTCATATCAATTACTTCCATTTCAATCTTCTTTCTTATGAAGTGATGTTGAATGCCAATGTGCTTGATCCTTGAATGATGCTTTGGATTCTTTCCAAATGTAAAACATTCTTGATTGTCATACACTATTGGAGTTGCTTCCATTTGCACTATTCCAATGTCGTGCAAATGTTGTCTTAGCCATATTGCTTCTATTGCATCAAAACTTGTTGCCATGTATTCCACTTCTAATATTGACCTTGCAATTGTTGATTGTTTCTTGCAATTCCATGAAATCGTTTCCATTCTAATAAAAAATAAATATCCCATTGTTGACCTTCTATCATTTGCATGTCCAGCCCAATCCACATCACAATAACTATGCAAAGTAATGTTATTATTACTAAAACACAATTTGAAATGCAAGTGCTTTTTAAATACATCATGATCCTTTTGATGGTTTCTTAATAGATTGGTTCAGCATTAACATGTGATGTATGAGTCATCAGATTGACTCACTAGTTATTTTAGGACAAAAGAATGCATGTAGAGTATCAAAATTACAATTATTAGGTAAACATATGCTTAGAAGATGTTAAAGAAAGAAGAATAGTATTAGTAGAGAAGAAATGGAGTCTTGGTAAGTCTTGGAGGCAATTACTTTAGTTGGTTTAGTATTTTTACTTATTATTGAGGAGTAAGGATTAGTTACTAAAATCGATATTTATATTGATCTTATATCTGTATATATTACTTATACAAAAACTATAAATGTTAGATAGTAGTTAAAAAAAACATGAGAAAGAATCTCATGTCTTTTTAATTATTTATATAGAAAGTAGAATTTATAGTAGATTTAAATTGATTCTATTACTATAAAAAATCAATAATATAAGAAATTATATCCTTAAATTGCTATTAGCATTATAGAAACATTATAGGAATTTTTAGAATTTATTTAGAAATTATTTAGAATTTTTAGTAGATTCAAATTGATTTTTATCACTATAAAAAATTTGGAATTGATGAGATTGTAGTAGTTGGACACTTGTGTGGGAGATATGGCAGAAAACCTAATACTGAAAAAGTTGATGCCATTGCTAGGATGAAGGCATGTAATAGCATCACTGAAATAAGAAGGTTTTTAGGTGCTTGTGTCTTCTATCAGATTTGGATTCCTCATTTTGCTCACATAGCTAAACCATTGTATAATCTCTTGAAAAAAGGAACGAAGTTCAAATGGGAACAAAAGCAAAAAATGGCCATAGAAGGTCTAAAGGAGATTTTAAAATCACCGCCAAACTTGAGGCAAGTTGATTATGATTGTGGAAGGCCAATTATTGTTATTGTTGATACAAGCCGAATTGCTATTGGTTGGGCTATTGGTCAAGATGATACTGAAGGGAAAAGGTTTGTTATTAGATTTAGAGTAAGGATTCTCACAGAGAGACAAAGAAAATATCCACAAGTGAAGCAAGAGCTTTTAGAAGTAATTACATCTATGAAGGCAGATAGAAACTATTTGATTGGAACTAATGTGGTGTTGGAAACCGATTGCTTACCATTATTAGGTATGATTGCTAATTATTCGACTCTTGATATTACTATGTTAAGGTGGATAGCCTACATCAAATCACTTAACCCTGTGTTGGTACACATTTTTGGAAAAAAATCTCTATAGCATATATGTTATCTAGAGCTAGATATATTTGTGAAGAAGAAATGGAAACATAAGAAATTGGTGAAGATGATGAGGTTGAAGACCATGGTTATATATTTGCTATTGACAAAGCAAAATCAAGTGATAGAAATGTATCATTTAGAGATGATTTTTATGGAGAGAAATTAAGAGACATTGGCATTTATTTAAGCACTATGAGAAGGCAAGAAGGTTGGTCAAGCAAGACCTTTACAGACATTAGACACCAGTCTTATAACTATCTTCTAAAGGATATTTTTTTGTAGAAAAGGCCAAAAAAGAAAGATGGAGTGCCATTAAAGGTGATTGATGATATAGAGACTAAAAATCAGATTCTTAAAGAATTTCATGATACCCTTTGGACAGGGCATAGAGGAATTTGGGCCACCTACAACAAAATCAAGGAACGATATTTGGTGAAAAGGTCTTTACAAAGATGTGGAGGAATTTGTGACTTCTTGTATAGAATATCAATTATAATCTAAAAATAGATACAAAAATGAGTTGCATCCTACCTATCCACTTGCCATGCACTTTCAATGGATGATTGACTTGGTAGCCATGCCTTTAAGATTATGGGGTAGGAAATATCTTGTCTTGGTTAGAGGAGAATTCTCTAACTTTGTTGAAGGCAGAGCTTTGAGGACCAAGACTATAGAAGGGATTTGTAGATTTATCTTTGAGGACATCTTTAGCAGATATGGAAGCATTGGTGGAATGAGAGTAGATCGAGGAGAATTAGATGCAATTGAGGCTATAAACTTTTTTTAAAGATATGGTGTGAAGTTAAAATTAACTATTATTTATAATCTTGAGGCTAATGACAAGAGTGAAAGAGGGAATCCTCCCATTATTAATGCTCTTGTTAAAGCTTGTAGAGGTAAGTCAAAAGAATGGCCAAGACTTTTGCCACTTGCTTTATGGACAGATAGAACCACTCATAGCACTGTTACTGGTTATATGCCTATTGAGCTTATGTTGCGTCAAAAGCCAATTTTGCCAATAGAGGATTGAGTGCCTACTTGGACATTTTTAAACTAAAAAGATGGCATTACAAGAGAAGAACTACTAGAACTTCGAATCCAATAGCTTGAAAGATTGCTTGAAAATAAAAATATTACATTAGAGAAGTTAAAGGTAGTTAGGTTGAACAACAAAGAAAGGTTTGATAAAACTCACCGATCAAAGATCAATCAAATTCAAGCTTGAGATTGGGTGCTAGTATTTGATAGCAGTCTTGAACATCAACATAGTACTCTTAGAAAATTTGCTCAAAGATGGTTCGATCCATATGTAGTGGTAACAATATATGATAATGCCACTTATTCACTTCGTGAGTTGGATGGAACAATGCTGAAAATGCCTGTGGTTGGAAAACAAATAAAGGCATTCAAGAGAAGAGACGATAGATTCAATCCATGTGATCTTGAGTACATCAAGACATTAAATATGGACGAAGTAGAGGACGTGAAGGTAATGGAAGATGATGAAGATATATAAATTGGCACATATCAGAGAATGTGCAGGTTTAGAGGGGATGGATGTCGTGTTGTAATTTATTCATAGTATAAAAATAATGGTTATTATATTGATGTTATTTAATAATGACCTTAGAAAATAATGAATTATTTTCTATAGAATTTCATAGTTTATAGAAATCTTAAATAACTTGTATAAGTTTTATAAGTAAAAGTAGAAGTATTAGGATATTTAATATAGAAGATGTAGAAAGATATGGGTATTGATATTATAGTATTGTGGCCTTAGGCCATCTA